CCACAGGCTCAGCCTTTTGTTCAACAGAATAACAACTGTGTGTGTCTTGGTCAGGCTGTGCTTTGGGGTTCTTAGGTTGAAACGGGGAACCTAGAGGCAGGGAAAGGAGGTGTGCTCAGTACAGCTGCTGCACAGAAGTGACCACAGTGAGCACAGGCTCCAGGGACACAGCAGCCTGGGTGTAAACGGGCTGGCCAAGCTGTGGATGACAGGCTGAGTAGAGAAGCAGCTGTTGACAACAGCCTCAAGCAGACAGGCTGGGAGTCAGAGGGGTTGTGGACAGGGTTATCAGCCATGTGTAGACAGTGACAAGAGGCCCAGGGAGTTGGTAGATGAGGTTTTAGTGTGGGTATAAGGAAGCCCCTTAGCTTTGGAATGATCTGGAGAACAGCGAGCCCCAGGCTGGAGCGTGGAAGTGAATGGGCTGTGCAGGGGGCCGAGGAGAGGTGTTGCCAACGGGCAGGGGACGCCCAGGCCACAGGGTCCATAAAACACCTCAAGGGCATAAAGGGGGCCAGGAGAAAGGCAGACACTGCCAAGCCCACAGCTGCTCTGGGCTGGGCAGGAGGACATCTGGACAAGAGGTGAACTAGGGTCTCTATACAGAGTTTGGGAAGGAAATGGTAAGCAGAGTTTCCAGAAAGTTCCATCATCACACACAAGTGTGGCCCTGAGGTCTGCCCCCAACTGCCTCTCAGGTCACAGCTTTCATGCAGTCATCTATGTCAGGGCCACTGGCTCTGTGTAAGCTGGTGTCTGCTGCACAGGCAGGGCCAAGGGCCCAGGAGCCGGTCAGGGCCCCAGAGGAGAAGGGCGGAAGGCACCAGGGAAGCCAGGCTGGAAGGAAAGAGGAGGGGCGACCTATCTTGGTCCTGGGACTTCCATCTCTGGAACAGGAAGAGTGGGGACCAGAGAGGTCTGGGCCAGGAGGAGGTGCCGGGAGGATGACTGGGGCTGCACTGGGTCTGAGGTTCCCCTGGAGACTAGCCGGGAGACAGAGGTCCGCAGGCTCTCGTTCTCATGTCCCCAGGGTTGAGGGGAGCACGGCTGGAATGTACCACAAGCCAGCATCCATCCCCCGAGGCCACCAGAGGGGAATCTCCAGCCCTGAAGTCATCGCCACCCGAGGAGCCTGGACCCCACCATGGAAAAAGGGTCCCGCAGGGGCGCGTGGCGCCGGCCCGATGAGCTCAGAGCTGCCTGCCGTCTCCTCTCCACTTTTCCAGACATCTCAGATTTCTGGGTGTCAGGAACATCTGACAGACAGGGCAGAGGACAAGGAGGGGCCAGAGCAGGGACCCAAGGTGGGATGGGGGACCAGCAGGGCTCCCTTCCACCCCAGCCCTGCACTAGCCCCTTTGCATTGTCCTTGGCCAGGTCCAGGGTAAGCTAGGCCCCCCATCACTTCCCATTAAGGCACCAAAGGAGCCCAAAACGGTGAGGCCCCTAAGAAAATACACCTGAGTTACCTGGAGGGCAGCCTGCACCTCTGGCCTCTCCCACCAGCTCAGACTACTCATTACACATTGGCTTTGGAACTGAGATGATGGGACTTAAAGGGACACGGGCAGCATTCAGGGTGGCAGCAGCCTGGCAGGGCTGGGGATTTCATGGTAAGGGCAAGATGCAGTCACACAATGCTGCAAACAGCACACGGACAAGTCAGAGGATCCAGCCCTGGCTCCTGCTCCACCACTTCTTAGCTCTGTGACCCTGGGGAAGCCACCTTCTCTCTCCAGGTCTCAGTTTCCCCTCTGCAAAACAGAAATACCACCTAATCTTTGAGTGCTTTGAGGATCCTTTGAAAGCACAAAAGTCCTTTGAAACCTTGAAGCTCTTTGCCCTCAGACAGAACATGATAAGAATGCAAATTAAAAAATAAAAGTGTGGCTGCTGCTCCGCACAACCCCAGGAGGCACTGCTCACACTGTAGCCTTCAAGCGTGGCATTCCCTGTAGCACAAGTCCATGGCCAACTGCGATGTGGAAGGTGCTTTCAGGAGTGGTGCAGACCTGCAGACCTGCAGACCTGCCCCTATGGCTGGAAAAAATACTGTCCAGAAGGGTCCCTGGGTGGGCAATGGGGCTGCCCTGGTCATCGGACCCATTAAGTGTTCTCTGCAAGAGGACAGTCCTATTCTAGTCTAAATAAATTTGTCCTGTTTCAAAAGGGGTGGTTGCAGGATGAAGCTGGCTCACTGTCAGCGTCTTGTGTCTAGCATAGGTGAGCCAAGAAGAGACGAGTATGCTCCAGGAGATCTGGCACCGGGGAGGTGGCGTCAGACATCCCTGGAGCTGTCTGCTCTGAACCACTGAGTTTATCAACTGTAAAGGTTGATGTCCTGTCTACACAGCTGCGTCAGACTGCCAGGGATATGGCCACGGGCAACCAGAGAAGTTTTGGGCCTGCCCTCTTCTGAGGATAAAGTCTCCACCGTGGGACTCTGAAGGAGAAGGGCCGCTATGCTCAAGGGGCGCCAATCTGCAGCCAGACTAGACAGTTGTCCCCAGCACCCAGAACCAGGGCATGTGGTGACAGGTGTCATTTCACCAGCAGGGGGAATTCCCCAAGGCAAGCGAGGAAAGGAAACGAGTTCCCCGGCGTTGAGTCCTTGATCTGTGTTAAGTACTTTGCCTGCTAAGTGTCCAGTCAAGTGCTCATTGACTAAGGTACTTAGAGAATGACTGGATGAATAGCAGGAAAAAAAAAAAAAAAAAAACCACTTAAGGGGTGGATGCTGTGACTCAGCAGCCTAAGCCACAGCCAGGGATGCCTGCATCTCATATCTGAATCCCAGGTCTAGTCCTGGCTACTCCACTTCCCACTCAGCTTTCTGCTAATGCATCCTGGGAAGGCAGCAAAAGATGGCTCAAGTACTTGAGTTCCTGCCACACACATGGAAGACCTGGAGAGAGTTCCTGGATCCTGGCTTTGGCCCGGCCCAGCCCTGGCTGTTGGGGGCATTTGGAAGATATTCATATTCATTCTCTTTCTCTCTCTCTCTCTCTGCCTTTCAAATAGACAAACAAATCCTTTTTAAACATCGCTAGCACTGATAACTGCAGTGACTCCGCCTCCTGAGGGAGGGAAGTAACGCCTCTTCTAAGGAAGCACTGTAGCATGAAGCAAAGCACCTTAGAGACTCGCGTGCACAAAGCTGACCTAGAGAACAGCAATGGGAGACAAAGCAAAAGGAGCACTGAGTACAGGAAACAAAAAGCTGACAGTTTCTGGGGAGGGACCAGGCGTCCAGAAACTGGTTCCTGAGAATGGGGGAGAAGGGTTGGGGCCAGGCTGGATCTACAGAGAAATACAGCCTACACAAGTGCACAGAATGATGGATGTGCTTTCCAGAATAGCAAGATCTAGAGCTCACTCCTTAAACCATCACCTGAGCTGCACTTGCAGGAATCCAGCTTCTAAAACGCTGTCCCCAGAGCATAAGTACCTGCAAAGGCCGTCACATTCACAGCTCTGGGACCTTGGGGTATGAAAGAATTTGAGGAGAGTGAGGTGTCTAGGAAACAAAACCTTAGTTTTTAGACCAAAAAGTTGCTGAGAAAGGTATGAAGGTAGGGGGCTACATAAAATATATATCTTTGTTCATGATTCTATCTGAATGGAGTTGTCAACACTTCCAGCCATCAGAAATTTTGGGAGATGGGACAGGCTGCCCCATCCAAGCAGAGTGCTCCATCACTAGAGGCTTCTACACAGAGTTCCCGGAAGCAGGATTCAAGCCTCGAGGTGGAATGGACACCCAGGTCACTCCCAGTGCTGATGCTACATGATTCTGTTAGGACAGTCGGGCATTTACTGAGCCAGCGTCACTGGGCCCCATATCTTCATCTCCTCTGAAGTAATACTGAGAAAATCTTGGCCTTCATGTAAGTCCTTTTAATATGTGAGGAGTGCTGCCATGAAGAGACCATTGGCCCCCCTCTAAAAGCTCATCTCTGCTGACTTGGGCCAACATCTAGACCACACTTCCCAGCCACCCTTGCAGTTAGTGCACCCAGGTGACTGGGTGATCTCCAGTGACAGCTGAGCAGAAGTGATGTGCATCACTTCCTGGCCTGCCTCATTACAAACCTCATGCTCTGCTCTTTTCCCTCTTGTTGATCAAGATGTTGACCCCAGGATAGCTTTGGAAGCCACGAGTTGAGGATGGCAGATTTAGCACCAGGGTTTCCCTGACAGGAAGAGAGTGAAGGCACAAGAGGGGGACAGGGCATGCGGCATTCCCCAAGCTTATTTGATTAGGCACATTTTATTTGTGGTTTCTTTTGCAAAATAGCATAGCATTCAAAGCCCTCCATGCTCTGGCTCTACTGACTTTTCCACCCCTTTCTTCTGCTGTTTCTGTGAATCTTGTGCTCTGAACAAACTTTCCCAGAATCTGTTGGCTTTTAGGAAAGCCAGAAATACTAGGGAGAACTGAGGACCAATGGCAAACAGGTTTGAGAACTTGACCATGACTTGCCCTGCCTCTTACTTCTGTTGCCTCTTCCCTCCCAACTGTTTTCCCATCATCCCAAAAGCCCTTCCACATTGATCAAACCCTTCCTCCGCGATCATACCAGCCTTCTAAGATCCCTCTTTGCGCTCTCTCCCTTCCACACTCTCTGAGACAATAGCATCTTCCATAGTCATTCAGAAGCTCACGAATAGTTCTCTTCTCCTGTCTCTGAGAACCTGAGAAGATTGCATTTCTGTATTTTTTGAAGTTACTTTGGCCAAGAACATGAAGGCAGAAATGATGTGTCACTTAGGAGCGGAAGCTTGAAAAGCTGGCCCATATTTAACCAAATCCCTTTTCTCTCTGCTGCCAGACTGTAAAAGTTATAGATGGAGGCTGAGACATTGACCTGGCTACCAGAAGGAAAATGACGTGGAGCAATGCTAGAACCAACCCACAGCGTACACAGAGTGTGAGTGAGAGCTGCTGTTGATGAAGCTGTCGAGCTTCTGCAGTCTTTCATTGCCACCCCATAACCTACCCAAGCTGACCAACACAGGAACAGTGCACCGCTCGTCACGTTCTCCTCTTACTGCCACAGTGATCCTGAAAGCACAAGAGTTAGATTCTTCATCAGCCCAGGTCCTTGATTGAATAGGACAGTAGATCTGTCTTCTAACACAATCTCAACATCTAGAGTAGGAATTAAACTTTGGCTGTGTAAACGCCCCATAATGTGGGGCTGCTTGTTACTGCAACATAACCCAGCCTCTCCAGACTGATGTTTTTAGGTGCCCCATGCATGTATCTACCCTTTGATCTTGATTAATAACCAAAGATAGACAGTGTTGTCTGAGACTGCTACATCAATCATCATCGCTCATCCCCCAGACCCACTGTTCCCACCATCATCTCTGCCAACACTCCCACCACTGCCACTTCCAACATCAATGCCACTACTATTCCCATTATCCCTGTCATTAGCTCTACTAAGTACTACCACTCACTTCCACCTTTGCAGTTGTAATATCAATGCCATCTCCCTACAATCACCTCCCCTTGAATAATCCTGCTCACTGCCATCCACCCCATGATTGTCATCCCCTTCACCAACGTCATGCCACATCACCTCCACTGTGGTGATTCATATCCACCCCTCTGCAATCTCCACCCTCGCTGCCACTTTCACCTCAGTCATCACTAATACAATCACTTTCACCAGTCCAGCATAATTATTTCCATCATTAGCTTCAACATCACCTCAGTGTAATTTTCACTATCACTAGTACCTGCACCATCTCTACCACTTCTCCTGCCATTTCTATTATTTTCCTTAAAACAGCCACTGTCAGGGCCAGCGCTGCAGCGTAGTAGGTTAAGCCTCCACCTGTGGTGCCTGCTCCACCTCTGATCCACCACCCTGCTAATGGTCTGGGAAAGCAGTAGAAGATGGCCCAAGTCCTTGGGCCCCTGCACCGGAATGGGAGACCTGGAAGAAGCTCCTGGGCCCTGGCTTTGGATTGGTGCAGCCCCAGCCACTGCGGCCCTTTGGGGAGTAAACCAGCAGAGGAAAGACCTCTATCTCTGTCTATAACTCTGTCTCTCAAATAAATAAATCTTTAAAAAAAAAAGTCATTGTCATTGCCATTTTCTCTACCTCTATCAACTTCATTATCACACCATCACCTCCAGATTTGCTGGCACCATCACTGCTGTGTGCTGGGAGTCTTTCACATTACCCATCCACCCCCCACCCCACTCTACCCTCGAGGAGGAATCCTGCAATGGTTACTTGGTCTAAAAATATCTTATGGTGTACTATGCTAGTTAACGGGGGAGTGTGCCAGACTGAATGTCTCACTCACATGGGTGCAGTATGAGGGCTGGGGCCTTCTCCCCCCAGGGAGAAGGTCCAATCATCTCTTCTTTTTGGCTTAAACCTTTTTCCCCCACTCCTTTCTCTCCCATGTGGCTGCCACATGGTCCTGGAAAGACCTGAGCCACGGAGCAAATGTAAGACTTTCTGTGTTTCTTGAGCTCCCTTTTGTGGCTTTCTGGTGAGTGTGGACACATCCAAGACTTAGGTTTGGACCTAGAGGCAGTAGATGTAGCAGGTCGTTCAGCTGATTTTGGTTCTGGGCCATTTGGACTGATTTATTTGGTCAAGACATTCTCCACATCATCTAGGATGGATTGCTAGAGTTCTTATTTTTATATTCCATTTAAATCCTTACTTTTTATCAAAGTAATACATGTACATATTTTGAAAGTAAAATGTTCTACAAGGTTTATAATGAAAAACATCAGACTTCTGCTCCAATCCTGCTCACTTCTGAATCTTACTCTCCAGAGGCAAGCATTTTAAATTGTTCTCTTTCTTCTAGTTGTTATTTCTGTATTTATTCAAAACCTTTTTAATTTATTTAAGAAAGGGATGGAGGGAGAGCAGTAATGAGAGTGAGAGAACTCCTATCTGCTGGTTCGCTCCCCAGCTGCCCACAATGGCCCAGAGCTGGGTCCAGCCAAAGCCAGGAGCTGAGAGTTCAATCCAGGCACCCCGTGTGGGTGGCAGGAACTCAATCACTTCAGTCATCATCACTGCCTCCCATGGCCTGCCTTGGAGGGAAACTGAAGCCAGGAGTCGGAGGTGGGTATCACCAGTTCCTATCTTAACCGATGTCTTAACCACTAGGCTAAATTCCTGCACTGACTTCCATATTTCTAGATGTCACAGTAATACTGATGCTTCTTGCATATTTCAGTTTTAGGTTTATCTGTTGACTTTATACTATGGAAGATGAATGTTCAGCTCACTTACACTACTACTCTTCCACACAATCACTCCCAACACACAAAGGGACATGTGAATACTGATACTGATCACAGTCGTATGCAAGACCTTGTACTGTTCTTGTATATAGCAATCATTCACAGTCGATCCACTTTCCTTTCTTGTACAATGCTTTGATTCTCTCAGAGTTAGTAACTGGCAGGTTTTTTGTGTGTGTTTGTTGCCATTTGCTTAACTTGTCATAGATTTGCATCCTTTACTAATGTGTCCCCAAACTCTCCAGTGGAGCTGACCATTTCCTTTGACTATGTATTACCTCCGGTTCCACTTTCTTCCTGGGAACCCCCCTGCTGGAGTCCACATCTGTGACCAATCAGGACTAACTGCTATCTAAATATTTTGACGACGTCAGCCTGAAACTTTCCTTCACTGTGATTCTGACTCCGTCCTCTGACTCTATATTGTTGTCTAGATCCTTCATCCCCTCTTCTTCCCGGCTTTCCTTCCTAACTAAGGAGGATGCCACTCCTCAATACCCTCCTGCCGAGGTGTGATCGCAAAGCAGCCTTTCAAGAGCATTCGCGCCAGCACTATCCTTATTGTCACACTCAGTTGCTAGCGGGGCTGGATATAGAACTATAGTGTATATGGTGGTTGTTAAGAGAACTTTGACACAATTTTGATTCCAAATATTTTGTGAATAAATTTTTCTCTCTATTCTGGAAGCTTTTAAAGTTTTCATCTCGCCAGCGCCGTGGCTCACTAGGCTAATCCTCCACCTTGCGGCGCCGGCACACCGGGTTCTAGTCCCGGTCGGGGCGCCGGATTCTGTCCAGGTTGCTCCTCTTCCAGGCCAGCTCTCTGCTGTGGCCCGGGAGTGCACTGGAGGATGGCCCAGGTGCTTGGGCCCTGCACCTGCATGGGAGACCAGGAGGAAGCACCCGGCTCCTGGCTTTGGATCAGCGCAGTGCACCGGCCACAGCGGCCATTGTGGGGTGAACCGACGGAAAAAGGAAGACCTTTCTCTCTATCTCTTGCACACTGTCCATTCTGCCTGTCAAAAAATAAATAAATAAATAAAAACGTTTTCATCTCCAGAGTTTTGATATTTCACTGCAGTGAGCCTTGGGGTAAATGGTTGTGTTACAATTGATTTTTTTTTTTTCAATTCAATTTGCTATGTACTCATAGAAAATTTTCAATCTGTAAATTCAAGTTCTTGAGTTCTAGCAGATTTTCTTGTATGTTTTTTGTTTGATCATTTCACCTCTATTTTATTTCTCTCTGGAGCTTAGATGATTATCCTAGTCTGATCATCTCATTTTTTTTTCTGTCAATTTCCATTTCTTTGATATTTTTGTTCTACTTTTTGGGAATCTGTCTTGACTTTATCTCTACAACCTGCTTTATTTTGATTTGATTTTTAAAATCAAATAAGGATTTTTATGTGTCTTTTCCAACAACATTTTTATACCTATAAAAAAAGACCTCTAGTTGTCATTTGAAAGAGGCATCATCTTCTATCATTCTGAAAATGTTCATCACAATCTCTGTGCTGTTTCCTTCCCCCTCTCTGCTTGGATCCCTCTCTCAGCTGAATATCTTCCTTAAATATCAAGCAGATCTTAGTTTCCCACTCATATTGAAGTGTCAGGCACCAAAATACTCATTGAAAGTGGTGGGAATAGAAGAGAAAAGGTGTTGACAGGTGGGCTTCTCCATCGGGCAATTGAGTGGGACTCACATTTTCCCTGAAAGACTAAATACCAACACCTGCAAGTCTTTTCTCTTGGGAAAATCTGTTTTCCCAGGAAAGTCTCTTCCAGCATCTTGCTGTTATGATATTAACTTGGCTACCAGTGTTCTGGGACTTGGATGAGGAAGAGAGCCGAGAGCCTCACCTTTCAGGAAACAGGCTCATCCTTAATCCCCGTGTTTTCAGGTTGGCTCCTCAGCCCTCCCTCAGCTGGGCCTGGTGCCTCTGTGTCCAGAAACTTCTTGGTTCTGTAGCCCAGAGCATAAATCTGCTTTGTGCCAGCACAGAAGGTGATGATTACCTAGATGCACAGGGTAGAGGAATACATCTGGGATGGGAAAGTTCTGATTCTTTTCAAAACATGCGAGCAACTCTCCAATTTTCCAACCTCATTCTGAATCCTTGCCTTCAGAAGTAACTGGTACCTCCAAAACCCAGGTCTTTCTTTGATTCTGTGTCTAGAAGTATTGTGCTACCTGTTGGCTCCTGCCCTCCAGCCCTACACCCTTGCAGGCTGAGTTTTCAGTTTTCTGTGGTCTGCTAAGTCAGGTTCCACTCATCCATCTACTTCCCGATTTCTAGATTATTAGCTTCTCCTGTCTGCTGCTGCTTCCTCTCCCCTTCTCTTGTTCTTTGTGGGTCTGTGCCTTCTTTAAAAATACCATTAATGACATTTTAGTGGGGCTTCTGGAGGTCACCAAGGTAAACATATGTGTTCAATCAGTGATGATGAAGTCTAATGATCTCTGTTATGATGTAGAGCCACAGCAACCATTCATCATAAAGGAGCCTTCTACTCTGCTTTATTGCCTCCTTTGCACCTTCATCTACTGGAGTGAATGGTAGTGAAGGTAGTCCTGATTGCAAATCACCACATCTCACCGGGACTCCAAATCAGGCGTGATATATCTACCATCCTGGACAACATAAACATTGCCACCTGTAACACAGCCTGTGTCACCACCACCACCCTCACGTTCACGCCATCACTGTCTCTGTCATGGTCTCTCTCACTTCCACCTCTGCCTCCGCCGTCGCCTGAATCACCTTCACCATCAGCACCGTCGTGGTGTCCATCATCGCCATCACTTCTGACATCACCGCCACTTTCTCAGCATCACTATCTCATCATGAGGACCATCAACTCCGTTGCCACCCCTCCCTTACCTCTCACCAAGACTCCCGCCATCCGCGGGCATTATCTCCTGCAGATACATTTCTACACTGCACACTGAATACATTCTTCTCCCATGAGCTTTAACAGAGACTTCAGCAACATGGAGAAGTGACTTCCACCTTTGAACACACACAGCTTTCTTCTCTTGGAGAAAGAGAAGGGTAGAAAGGAACCCACTGATTTCTCTAGCACAAGCCACACACATGGGGTGGGGTAGGGGCGGGGCAACTTGCACTGAGCCCTTTGCAGGCAGGAGGCATGACAGTAGACAAGTTAGATAGAGTCCTCTTGAGTGAGAATCATTGCTCTGGTTTTACAAGAAGGAAACTGAGATTCCCAGATGCTAAATGACATACTCAAGGCCACACAATTAATAAGTGGTGGAGCCAAGATTCCAACCCTTTGTGACTTCAAAGTCCATATTCTTTCCATTACACTATGCTGGCAAGAAATCTCAGCACAACGGGATATGAATGTGAGCAGAGAGAGCCATGGTCCTGGTCCCTAATCCCAGGGAGATCTGGTCTGATGATGCAGGAAGAAGCCCCTCTCTCAAACAGAGATGGTCGCTGTGATGTGATGAGGCAGACTGAGTCCCAGCGCTGCAGACTCGACTCTGCGTGGAAGCCTGATCCCAGCCAGTCTGCACAGTGCCCAAGCCCTGCCACCTCTCCCTGACCTCAGCTTCCCTGAGGGGGAGGCAGCGAGTGTGGACATCCAGTCCTGGGAATGCCTGGACTTGGGAGAGCTGAGCTATTTTGGGATTGTTTACATTTGGAATCTTCCTGATCTTTGGTCCCAGAAAAACACCCACATGTTGGAAACTCTTCCGAGTTATTCACTGTTGGGGTTTTTCTTCATCTCCTTCAGCTTTTTCGTCTTCTTGGATGGAAAAAAAATCTGCTAGTGATTAGTCACAACCTGTGAGGCTCGGCTTTTGACAGCCCCACTGAGAAGAGGGAGACAAAGAGGCTCAGAGAAAGGCTCACGGCAGCTGCTGCTGGGAAGGAAACGGGGCTCACAGCTCTGACCTGTGGGGTGAGGGATGGTCCATTCACCTCCATCTACCACGGACAAGCACTCCCTGGATGCAGGGCCCTCTGTGGCTGCTCTGTTCCAAGCCCTCCTCCCAAGTTCACAGAGAGCACAGGCCAGAGCATGTGTTAGAAAGAAGCCAGGGGGTCAGTGCCCGGGCAAAGAGGAGAAGAGGAGAGGAGGAGCAGGTGACACGAAGCACGAAGCACGAAGCATGCCTGTTCTATGGGGTCCCTTTGGCCACAGCCTCCACTGCCAACCCAGAGTGCTCTTGTTCGGGGTAGGCATATGAACTATAAGCATCAATCCCAAGACTCCTTGTGAAGCCATGAGATCTCTTTGTTCTCCTAGAAATCCCTGGGTGTGAGCAGGGCTCTTGGTGTTCTTTTTTCTTTTCTTTTTTTTTTTTTTTTTTGAGAGCAGGCTGAGGGCAGGGTGGGGCTGAGCACTGTCCACTGAGGCCTGGACAAAGGGAGATTGTTTTAGCTGAAGGACTGGGCCTGGAAGTCATATCTGGATCCAATTTTTAAATCTAAGGATTGTGAAACATGGTGGGGAAGGGGTAATAAAGGGAATTTGGGAAATCTCCCTTGGTGTGGGCCTTTTAAAAGAGATTTCAGGGCAACAAAGGGAAAACCAATTAATACAATAAACAACAACACAGCGAGATGGCTTAATGTCAGGGGGATGACAGAGCCACCCGTAGGGTGGGTGGGACCCAGGCAAATATATTTTTATTTTGCCAGGCTCCTGTCTATATAAACAATTTGAGTCATTCGAAATTAGCATGTCAGCGCCGTGCTGAAAGCCCAGTCTCGTGTGATCCCATACCAAGAAATAACTCACCAGCCAGGGGAGCAATCCACCCACCAGACTGCCCTCCTGGAAATAAGTATAGCTATAAGGCCTCAGGACAACTGCATAGGTGAGAAGCCCATTGCTCCAGGGGACATCTGGTCCACCCCACCCATGAACTTGAGGCCAGAGAATAGCCACACGTGTTCCAATACGAGGACCCCAACAGACAGCACTGCCTGCCCTAGTTAGTCTCAGACACAGAGGGAGACCTAGAGCATTTCAAAGGACGCCCTTCTCCCCCAGGTTTTGGGGCAGGGGAGGGAGGGGGTATCCTGGGGCTGGAAGCAGTTACATCTCAGCGAGGCCCCTTGTATCTCTGCACTGAGGCAGGCTGAGGGACAGAGACTCTGGACACATGTCCTGGCTGTGCGATCTCATCCTGTGTTTCTCACCTGTAGACTAGTGTACGATGCCTAGCGCAGAGAGCAGTTGTGAAAGTTTACTCCAGTGGCCTACAGAGAGAGGACTTGCCTGTGCACAGTGGGACTCAGGTCTGGGATCTCAGCACTGCCCTCCAGAGCCTCCGGGGCAAGGCTACCCTGGCCCCACCTCTCCTTGCCCTCAGTGCTAGCCCTGGAGCCATACACACTCCTCTCTAGAGAAGAGAAGTTCCCCCGGGAAAGAGCACAGGCCAGATAAAGATCTGGTATTGAGAGCAGTCAGTCCAGGTCACTGGGTCCCAGGGACAGACCTGACCTGAGGGGTGTAAGGCCCAGGCCGGCTCACCAAAGTAAGGTTCTTAAGAAAGTAAAGCCAGCGAGAGCACCGCCAGCTTGGACTACAGGGAAAGAGAGAGGAGGAAACAAGAGACAGCACCGTGACAATGAAAGCAGAGAGACAAGAAACAAGGGAAGCATCCTACCTGGAAAGGCAAGGACACGGGCTCCCCTGTGGGGGCTGCAGGACCAGGGAGCTGGGGGACGCTCTGGGCTGGGGGTCATCCCAGCCTTACTGTAGGAAAAAGGGGTGGCAGTGGAGCCCTGGAAGAAAGCTGTTCAAGCCTCCGTCTTGATTCTGTCCCAGGTGTGACACTCCCAGGGGTGGCCTGGCACAAGTCCACGTCCCCTCCCCCGAAGCTGCCCCACAAGCAGCTGGGGGGCCACCAGAATCGGGAGGCCAGGTGGGAAGCGGAGTTCAGGCCCTCTCTGTCATCTCCTTCTCCACTGATTGCTCACCCCTTCCCAACAATTCAGGAGAATTCCCTCTGAGGGTACCTGCCCTTCCCCGTGCAGGCAGACTGAGGCCTGAGGGAGCGCCAGCACTGCCACGCCATGAGAGAACGCCCCCCAGGATATAAGCAAAGGAAGCCCTTGGCAATGACCTGGCACTGGCCCATCAGGAGGACACTCCACGTACTTGCCCTTCCAAGTTCTCTGCTGCCAGGTAGCCAGCGTACACCTGCATACCTTCCCCTCATACTGTGGAGCCCCTGAATCCTCAGCCAGGGAGGCAGCCCGTGCCCAACCTTCATCTCCATTTGGAAATGCCCCATCACTCCACCTATCCACTTTTAAAGACCAAAATGTGGTGAGTCAAAGATTTCCTCTTCTAGTTACAAATTTAAGTGGAAAGTCTTTCTGAGATATAAAGGTCAATGCCATTTCATTGCCATGCACATTTGGATGCTGTAACATTATCACAAAGAGGCTCTCGTGAACTGTGATGGCCTTGGAACAACAGCTGAAGCTGCTGGAGCAATGCCACAGCTGGCAATGCAGCCGGCGCCAGTGATGGGGCAGGTCTCAGCCTCACCTGCAGAGGAGGAAGAGCTAAGCAGCTATGAAGCCCAACGGCCTAGAATGAGAGGAAGAAGGGCTCTCAGTAATTCTGTCCCAGATCAGTCTTCCAGGCCTGAGATCTGCCACAGCCTGCGGCCAGGTGGGGGAGGCAGTGGAAGACCACTAAGAAGGCAGGGCATATGGAAGAGCCTACATCCAAGGGGAGGACTGAGATCTGACACAGAGGATGGCAGCTGCAGGACCAGGGTACCTCGGTCAAGTTTAGTGATGTTAGGAGCCTGGACTACTCAAGTCAACCAAGGTCCATCACTCATCATTACCATTTGTGGGAGCTGTATCCTTTTAGACCACTCTTACACCTAACAGCTCCAGGGAGGGATACTGTGTATTACTGCCACATTTTACAAACAGAAGAATTTAGGTGCAGTACTGATACCATGTGTTCCTCCTGCTCCAGCCCTTCTTCACAGGCAAGTGCCAGGGGTGGAGCTGAGGAGCAGCACAGAGCTCCCAGGGGCTCGTGCCAGCCTTGCCCTTTGGTGGAGCCTTGTCCTGTGCCCCTCTGGAATAAGGGCAGGAGGGCTAAGAGAAGCCAGACCTAAGCCAAGTCATGAGAGGCTGGCTCTCACCAGGAGAGGAGGGGCCTCTTGACCAGGCATGCTTGTCCACACCCACCAGCCTCACTGCCTGGGGCAGGCCTCAGACACCAATCCTCACTCTGTCACAGAAACAGTCAGTCTCATTGGGGGTCCCTGTGCCCAAACACGTATACTTCGTTGCTTAAGACACTTGGGGATGAGATTAAGCCTAGGCCCAGCTTCTACCATCAAACTGGGAGCTCCCTAACGGTAAAATAACTTTTGTACATTTATCCCCAAGACGGCTTCTTGCCTTTTCAGGTCTGTTAATACCTAGCCCTCCGGGTCCTAGAAAGCACCCCTCCCAGATGCCCATGGTCTAACTTGGACTTCCTTCCCCGGAACAGCCAAGCCCCGTTTGCCACTCAGCCACTCAAAGGACAGAGCCAGGCTCAGAGAGGCCGGCGACCGCCTGCAGAGGTGGCCTCAGTCCCAGCCCTCTGGCCTCCCAGCCCGGGGCTCCTTTTCCCCAGACAGCCTCAGAGTCTGCCACACTCACCATGGCTTGTGATGTCTACCCTAAGCACAATCCCAGAGCTGGGACAGGAACTGGGACAAAGAGGAGGAGGACACTGGGGCCCGGGCCTTGACCCCAAGTTCCTATTTATAATCCTTGTTCCGGAGACGGCCACTTAAACACACATTCCTGATAACTGAATAATCTTTGGCACCAAGCAAAAAATAGCCTGTGGCCCAGACCACAATTGCACAGCTGGAGCAGGGTGAGCAGGGACGCCGTGGGCCCCAATGGTGCAGGGAGAGCGGGTGGCGGGCGGCGGGCCAGGGACAAGCGAGTGGGACAGCAAATATAGCTAGTTAAATATAGCCTTGCCCACCTGGACACTGTGCCAGACCCCTCTGCAGTGAGCATTTCCCAAATGGGCTTGGAACTCCTGTCCCCAAAGGAAGTGAGAGCCAGAGGAGGCCTGGACGGGAGGAGCTGGAGAGACCTTGGTGACGATGGCCCCCGGGGCTCCGGACA